CCCCAAAACCCCAAAACCCCAAAACCCCAAAACCCCAATAATTTATTTAATAATAATAGTTATGGATTTACAAATTAAGTCTGCAAGAATCGTTGACCATGATCTTGACTTCTCCTGCAGATTCTTCAGACAGCGGGTCCTCTTTTGTATGCCTCATAGCAATGCTCAACTCGAAGTTTTCCGCTGAGAAAGGGGAAAATGATGAGAGCTTCTGGTTTTGATTGAGAGTATCTTTAGAGATATTCAGCTTTGTGTCGTTCCTAAAGGGTGAGTTAGAGAGTTAGGAGACTTACCTCCAGCTACTCTGGTTCAAAGGGTTCTGAGCCCTGCTTATTCTTAATTTTGGAGTATGCTTCTGCTTCTTAGCTACCTCCATTTTCTTCTCTAGCCAAGAAGTGATGGATTTAGAGTATTCGTACGTCCGCACTTTGTCTTTACTGAGACATATGCTGTTCTTAACATCCCGATAAGGAGTGACAATACTTTTGAACATTTTAGTCTGACCCTTTTTCGAAATTTTCTTCATTTGGATTTTCTTTGAAATTGATGGAATTGGACTTCGAAAAGATTGGATATTCTTAGGTTTCCTAATGCTGCTCTGCCTGAAATCATTATCATAGCGTGACATCATCCTTGTAACTCTTCTCTCAACAGCTAGTTTCTCATTGATGGTATTATTAATCTTTGAAATTTTTAGACTTCTCATATACCTGCCCAGCAGGTCTGAAAGTTCTGAAAATTCAACTGGGAATAACTTCATTTTATTTTATCAAATTATGGTCTTCACAGCCTCGTTTAATGTATTTTAACAAGTTGTTTCATATAGTCAGCTTTTGTTGTGAAACCATGGGGCTGGTAAAACTTGCTGCACACGAGAATTTTGCACATTTATTACGAAGCATCCTGATTAGAGCCTTCTTTAATGTCTCTGAGTCATCATTATACACAGATTCAATAGACCCTACAGGTTAAAGGTGAATTACTTCATTGAAGCGGTGAAAAAGCAATATTCCTTCTTGTTGGAGGTGAGATGAAATTAAGCTTCCGGTTTATCTTCTCAAGCGGCTTTTTCAGTTTTGGAACCTTTACTCTAATCTCCTTCTCATGTTGCTTATTCAATAAAGGATTTTCAGATTGAGTACTTGACCATTCACTTTCATTATCTTCTGAAACTACAGTGGTTCATTTATCAATTTTCTTAGGTTTTGATATGATTTTTCTGAATTTCTTTCTATCAAGATCATTGATAACAATTACTCTCCAAAAATTTTATCGCTTTGGTTAAGGGCAAAATTGATTTCATCCCTGATCTTTGTCTCAAGCCTTCTTATTTTATGTTCTATGAGAGTAAAAATTAGTCTTACCTTTAATTTTCTCTTGTTTTTCTTTTAAGAATGACGCTCTAAGTCTGTCATCCTCTTGACCTAACTTCTGCATATCCTTAGAATCAGATCTAGATGACTGTGCCATGGTCATGCCATTAGAGGGGCTATTTATATAACTCCTTTTGGAGTCGTCAATTATTCTAGAAAAATTAGTCTGACTTATTACTTCAAAACATTAGAGTTATTTTCTTCTTGTGATTTCAGGATATTAAAATTTTTTTATCTTATAACTCTTGAAATCACTCAGATAACGCTTATTGATGCTAAACAGATCTTTCTTAATAGACTCAATTCTTTGGGAATTCTTGATAACTTTCTTAGGAGCAGCCCTTCTAGGGTTTATTTGCAGGAACTTCTGCACCTCCTGTCTCTTCTTGTAGATATCTCCGATTTTCATGTCGGTCAGTATCATCCTGTTGATGTCTTTTCCGCTGTTAAGTTCATCAACGAGTTCCTCCACCTTCTTTCGGTTGGGACTATCTAAATTTTACAGGGTAAGCACAATTTGATGTGTGGAGTCTGGTCGTTAGGATCAAAGCTATGTATACGGTAAAACCTGCATAATCTTTAAAAATTTATTTTCCTACATTAGTAAGAAAATAGACAAATCAAGCATAAGGTTGTCTAAACTCTGTGTCAAAATTGCCAATCTTAATGAAGTACCTTCTTTTTCACCTTGGATTATGAGATTGTTAAGAATGAAATTCCACCCATCTTTATTTATTAAAATCGAATAGTTCATCTCCTTCTATCTTCTCCTTACTGTCCATTTTTGGGAGTTTCATTAAGTTTTCTTTTTGCTCCTCTCGCTCTTTCAAAAATGTATGAGCCTCTTTATTAGAGCTATTACGCTTCTGATCAAACATAATGTTCATAGGATTAAGCTTGCTCTTTCTTTGCTGATAGAACTGCTCCATTGTTGTAACTGGAACCGGCTGCAGACGGGCTGTATCCTCCTTATTTATTATCCTCTTCCTCTGAAGAGGACTCCCAACCTTTGTATTTCTTTGATTTTAATGGTTTAATTTGTATTTGCTGTAAACTATCTCCTACCTCATTATCCTTATTTAATCAAAATCGACTACATTCATTCTTTTCACATTAGCAATGGAAGAGAAGGTTCTCCGGGTGAGGCTACTGATTCGTTTTATCTTAGGTCCATTAGAATTGAGAAGAAAAGGAGAGTTTGTCATAAAAGAAGCACGTAAATTAAGCTTCTTCTTATCTGAAGGAGGGCTGAGCATCCCTTTGCCCATATTCATCTTATTAATATTATAAACTAATGGGCAATTGGATGGATTTCTCAAGGGGTTTTGGGGTTTTGGGGTTTTGGGGTTTTGGGG